AAAGTGCATTGCATTTCAAATGCGGTTTTTTTTTTGTTCTGTTCTTGTTTGTTGTGACCATAATCGATTTCTTGAAGAGATATTTTATCCAGCACTTTGTGATTCGAGCTCATTTGTGACTCTATGATGATTCTATGAAAACATTTCGAAATTCTATTGAACTGGTGTTAATTATATCAGTTAAACGGAATCGAATAAAATTTCCTTCAAAAAAACTGTTTCCGATTTTATGTTTCCATTTGGCTTAGTTTCGGGGTTTTCTTCACACTAACCATTCTTTTTCGCGACAAGCATTCGGATGCATTGAGTTTAACGGAATTTTATTCGTCAGTTAACCTGTCATCATCATTGGTCTTTGTAGCATCATCATAGATGTGTTTTCAATTTTGTTCCGAATTCGAGTGAATTTTCATTTGGTGTACGATTGAATCAATCTTGGTTTATAGCTCTTAATTGATATTAGAATTTAAAATCACATTCAAATATCGTATGTAATGTCATTCGAAATGCGGTTACAACTGTGATAGATGTGAAATCTCATAGCCAAAATAATAAACAGTTCATGTGTACCAGCGAAAAATGTGTGGAAAAAACTTGACTCAATTTGGAACGAATGTTGGGACTCACGATATTTCTTCCCGCAAATTTTATGTGATGAACAAGCTAAATCAAGTCTCATCGAGCAAGAGAGACTCTCGCCCAATCTCACTCGCTCCGTCTTGTTGTGACAAATTGTACGAACAGGGATGTAAAGTTTGGCGCGTGAGATATTGTGTACATTGTACTGTGCAAATGGGACATTAAATGATGTTTTCGTCCGTGTAGGAAGATTTGGGTCAATACCAAACCAAATGCTCACCACAATGAATATGTGCGAACTCGACACACAGCGAAAATTATTCAACGAATTAATTAATTCGTTGATTTTAGTTGGTTTGCTATGCCAATTGTCCGCCGAAATCGGTTATTTGTTGTGGAAATATTAAATTATATTCATTCCAAATAGCCACGCATTTATAACTTTCGATTGCTTTGTGTGGTAAAAATTTGGTAAACATTGTTCAATCGGAAAACTTGCACAGTTCCTCTCTACCTACGAATAAAACTTTATTTCAAAACAGCAACTCCAGCTTCTTTGGCTCATTTCCGCATCGAAATATTGTTTCATCAAATGAAGAGCGAACATTTTTGACTCGTAGCGAATGTTTTGTTGAATTTAATTGACTTTTTCGAAACTTTGAACATGTTTCGAGCCATAAACAATTTCCGACAAAATTGGCCTAAGGCATATATTTCAACTTTTTGTTTGCTGACCTTTGTGCACACACTTTTTTATTCGATGGTTAATTCGTTACCCAATTTCGTTTTTTCTCTTCGCCGTGAAAAATCGTGTGGATGAGTAAAGTGTAGAACTGGAGAGTATCAAAAATCTTGTTGGTGATAAAGATATTGCCTGAGACCATATCTCTTCCGTAACTATCATCATAAAACTGAAAATAGTGTGTGTACTGTGTATGAAATCGATTTAAAAAAATTCCCATCAAAAACTTTTAATTAGATTCGGTGTCCATGGCTCAGTCGTTTTTTTTTTCTTCGTTCAAATTTTATCTGATCTGATGGTGTTTTAGCTGTCAACTAAAATATTATCTATTGACAACTATCGTTTGGATTAATGTTAGTGGAGCGTTGTGTCTGTTGCTACCGCTGCTGTTTCCTCTTTATTTATCTCTATTTATTATGATGTTTATTTGCTGTTCCACTCTGGCTCACTCTCCGGTGATACGTGGTAATTTTATTCTCAACGGACGGTTTCGAACATCTACCATCCATTTTGTTCGGTGATTGCAAAATCAATACCGGTAAAAACATGAGCAAATAATCCACTCGATGAAAGAATCCGACGAGTAAAAACGTGAAAGAAAAACCAGTTTGATGAAACCAGCAAAACTTTGTACACACACAGAATCGTTTCGATTTTTTTTGCTGCTGCTACCTTCCAAGCTGAGTACTGCGGTACAGGTGGGTGGTATTAGAGATCCGCTTGAATTTCAATCAGTTGGCCAAGATTTGGAGAAACCAAATTAGAAAAATATTCGAATTACACAGAGAAAATGTAGAAACGTACTCAACTTGGATCACACAAATGAAAAAAAAAAAATTAATCGAATAAACGTAAAAAACTCAAAAGTTTTCATTTAAATCCAAGCCTGAATCAATTTGGTTATAACAAAAGAATATGTTTTTGGTTAACGATTCCAAGTCCCAACTGTCTGTCGAGTGCTGATGCTCGTGAAATTCCAACTAAGGTGAGATTGCCGATGGCAACAGATGTGCTTTAGTAGCACAATGTGCGTCGCATGGTCGTGAAAAAGCAGAAAAATAGAACAACAAAATCTAGCTTGGCTATTGTTTTAGCTTGGCCATTGGTGACGGGTGAATATTCAAATTGATACGCAAACTGTTAAGCGGTTGGAATGAAAAAAAAAAACCGCCGTAGATGGAAGAATGATGGTTGCATTATCCTCTGGCCAGATGAAAAAACAAATAACCTTTTGAGCTTTTGCACTTCAGTAGCACAAAATAAATCTTCTTTTATCTATCAAACACGTTGCAAATGATGGATAGTTTTTTTCCTTGTGCTACATGCTATGCACCATGACAACAGCGGGGAATGGGTAAAACTGCTAAGATTATTAACAATCGTCTGACTAGTCTTGTCTCTAGTTCACCGAAGCAGCAGCAGCAACAGTAGTAGCAGCAACAAAAAAGGGCCACAATAACAATGAGATTTAATCGTCTGCCAGTGTTGAAATATTTCAACGTGTGTGTGGTTGTATACATGATATGGCCTATTGTTATGGCCTTGTTTTAATGGTGTGTTTAGCGTGGCCAACAACGGCTCTTTCATTCTCTCTCTCTCGACTGGAGAGAGTGACAATTAATGGGCTTTTATGTCAACGGAAAATTCAAATTAAATCTGGTGCACACAGCACAGCCAACTGAAGGCTTGGGTTTGTTGGTCTCATGTTGTACGTAAATAGACGAAACATGCAAACAAACACAATGCCAGCCTGTTTATCTTTTTTCCCCATGAACGTGGTGCAATTTAAATGTTGTTATTCAACGTAAAAGCAACTGGGCGGTGTGGATTGCTGGAAACGCACGGCCAACAAATATTGAAGTTCTCGACGAACAAAGCTAATCATGGATCAGTGAAATCGCCGAAAACATTAATTTTTTCTTCTGCTTGATGCACACAATTTTCTTGTGCGCTGCCGCTGTCGTCGTGGTCGCTAACGACAACGACACTCTCTATCACTCTCTTCCGTTCACATAAAATGAGATAAATCATTACATAATTTAATGAACATTATTTTGTGTTTAGAGAATCTCTGGCGGTATGGGATCTTGCGTGAATAATTTGCCTTTTATGCAAATGTAGAAGAAACCGAAACGAAGAAATCTTTCTCTCGCTCTCATTTTGTCTATTGAGACTTATCAAGATCGGAGCGATGCTTTTACCTGGAGAGAAATTATCAAAGCATATTCTTAATGCAGCTTGTTGTAAAATGTTTTGCTTTTTTTCCTCGAAAAACCACACCCCAGCAACACAACAAAGAAGCGAAGTAGAAACTTTGTTTACGCATACCTTTTTATCTCTTGTACACGAACTGAAATAAAAAGAGTGAATTGCAAAGAAAAGGAACGAAGAAGAAAAACATCCGAATAAATCTTAATATAAAACTAACATAAATGGAAAATGTGTTTTTTGACGTTCATGTGTATAATTTGAAATTTGTTTTCGTTCTCTCTCTCTCTCTCTCCGCCCCTCTGTATGGCCAACCAACAATCAATAGAAACATTCCATTTAACACCATGCAAAATTTATCGCTCCATTATCGCACTAGCAACAAAATCCATGTATGATCCAATTATTGCACTAAAATCGAAATGCCATCTATCATTTCAGCTACCGACGCTATTTATGTGTACTCTATTATGAATCATTTCAAATCGCACACCAAAATCGTGCCAAAACCAATACGGATTTTAACTGATATACACAAAAATTAAATTAGATTGGTTTTGAGAAAATTGTTTGTGATTCAAAATGTTTACCGAATCAATTAAAATTCAATTCGAATATTATCATCTGACTCGTGGAATCATTCCACTGGAGTGCCGATATTTGTGCCTTATTCTATAATAAATTTAAAGCTGTTGTTAAAGATGTTCTGTTTGGAATCATTGGGGAATGGGGAAAAAAATTTCGTTTGTGTTTGCATGCGACCTAAAGCCTAATATCAATATTTTGCTATTTGAGTAGTTTAGAGCGAAAATGTAATACAGAAAAGTTGCGCGGAAAAATGTCGATGATGAATGAGCGGAAAAGGAATAGCTATATAGCAAACTGTATAGTAAACTATAGTGAACTATATAGCTATCTCTTTTCATTTGACATTTTTCCGCGCAACTTTTTCTGTATTACATTTTCGCTCCAAACTACTCATTTGTCTTTTGACAAAGTGTATTTTCGTATCAAATCGAAATAATCTTAATTTGAAATTGGACACATAATAATTTGAAGTGAAATTTATTGCTAGTTTATTTGGGTAACTTTGTGTATGAATTCAAAGCGTATATTAATTTTCACTCCTACTCCCCAAAGTTGTTTGTATAGTCAGAGACAATTGTTGAAGTTACTTGTCTACAAGAAATTGGTTTGTTGCATACACACACACACACACACACACACACACACACACACACACACACACA